TTCTTTTCCTTCTTCTCTTCTCTTCTTTTCCTTCTTCTCTTCTCTTCTTTTCCTTCTTTACTTCTCTTCTTTTCCTTCTTTACTTCTCTTCTTTTCCTTCTTCTCTTCTCTTCTTTTCCTTCTTCTCTTCTCTTCTATTCGTTATTCTATTCTATTCCTTATTCTCTTCTCTTCTTTTCCTTCTTCTCTTCTATTCCTTATTCTATTCTATTCCTTCTTCTCTTCTCTTCTATACCATACCATGTCACACTATACCAGGCTTGGCTCAGTTGAGTTGACACAACCGTGGCTCAGGCGCATGGGATTCCTAAGAGACAGAACTTTGCTCAAGTGTTAAAATGTTTTTTAAAAAACTTAAAGAGAATTCTCTCTCAGCAAATGCAAAAGAGAGAGGGGGAAGAGAGGGGGGTGGGGGAAAGAGGGCGTGCATGGTCCCTCCTTGCGCAGCAGATGGAAATGATTTCGAGAAAAGGGGAAGGCGAAGAAGGAGGGGAAATCTGAAAATGAAAATAATCAATGTTTCTGTTTACAAGGTTTAAGCAAGGAGATGAAAAACAAAATCAAAACAAGATGCCACAGCGGGATGCGGTGGGAGGCCGGGCGTCTGAGCCGCCGGGTTGTGCCTCCTCCTCCTCCTCTTCCTCCTCCTCCTCCTGGTCAGGCTGGCCCGGCAGATGGCTAGGGGTGGACTCGGACCCAGGTTCAGAGGCTTTCTGGGTGGCCCCCACGGGAGAGAACGGGCTCTCCTTGACCTCCTGCCTGAGGGAGGAGATGCAGAGGAGGCCAGAAGCGAAGGGATGGCCAGGCAGAGAGCCCCGGGAAAGTTCTCCAGAACCTCCAGCCCCAGAGGGGCTTCCAAGAGTCCTTCAGGGCTGGGGATCCTTCACTCCTGAAGTTGGCAGAGCACCTAGGAGGTACGGATGAGAAGACATGACCTCAAAGGTCAGCGGGTCCATGTTGAGAGTCCCTTCTGCCATTCTTTGGGGCTCTCTGTCTTGCAATGGTCATTCCAGGTGGCTGTTGAGGTCAGCTTCTCTCCTGCTCCCCGTTTCGGCTGGAGGGGGAGGAGGGCTTCAAAGATGGCTGCTCTTTTTTTTTTTGAAAAGTTTCTTTATTTTTATTTTTCCATCACTTCTCTTACATCATTAAACTTCCAGTGTGTCACCTGGGTCCAATCTTTGCGCCATCATACTTAACACTTACATCATTTTTACCTGTCAACTTTTATTTCAGCTCCTCCCCTGTAATTCTGTGTCCTTTTCCAAATTATTCAATTTTCTTTTTGTCTACATTGATTTTTCTATCAAGTGGATAAAAACGTCCCCATCTCTTATAATGCCCCGATTCTTCCTTCTCTTTCATTGCCAAACGTCAATCTGTTCATTTCTGCACACAGTCTAATATATATATATATTTTTTAAATTGCCTCTGAGGGAATTTTTTCCCCCCGTTTTCCAATTGTGTGCAAATA